ACGTATAAAAATAAGTTAACGAATAACCTCGATCCATCAGGAAACGCCATATAGGTCGTTGAATTTCACTGCGCTTCATGAAGAGTTTTTCTTTTGCGTGAAGAAGCCGTTCGCCGGAGATGTGTTAAAGATAGCGAAGTGCATTCATGATTATTAGGCTACTGGTTTAATAATCCTCCTGGCTTCGGGTCTGAGTGAGTCATTTACTCTCTTACCTTTGTTTTTTGATTAACTTTAATGACACTTTAAGACCAGCTGCTGACAGAGACGCGATCGACACGCATTCCATTTTCTCACAAATCTACGTTAATTTAAGACTTATTTAAATCATTTAAGACTGCTCTTATGAGGACACTCGACAAAACTGACATTTTGGCATAACTTGTGTGTGTTATGGTTTGTTCAAGCCCGAAAGAGAACTCGATACTGACGCGCGTCTTTTCTGTGGGTCGCGCGCGCGCGTGTATGTGTGTGTGTGTGTGTGTGTAGGCAGGACAGTGCGGTCTCTTTAGTCTTGTCGCGCTTAATATCATTCACATTAATAAGAGCGTGATCATACAACGGTAGTCAACGGGTGGCAGAAAAAAAACGGATACTGCGTAATTGCGTTAAATATATAAATATATGCCTATATATAGCCTATATATATTCATTTTTTTTTGCGGTGTCGCGGTGGACAAGTGATGAAACCGGTGTTGTGCCTGAACACCGTGTAACACCGGTAACACCGACTACCGTAGCAAGCCTAGCCCTGACACGGAGCAGATGAATACAGTATAAAGCAAGAGAGAGCAAACTTTAAAATGACCCCTCAAAAATGTCCTTATTTGTTAAGTGGGGGTGTAATAGTCTCCATATTATTCAAAATAAATGGCATTCAGTTTATTTTCACATGTTAAGCAAACCACAAAAATTAGCCTCCCTGGAGCCTGTAGTGATGTCATGTGCTTAGTAGTCTTTAGTAGGGCTGCACGGTTTGGGGAAAATGTCATATTGCGATTATTGAGGTCAATATTGCGATATGCGATTGCGATATAATAAACATATGGTTTCATGAGTCAACTTGCTTGGTTCTAATGCAAAATGCACACACAGATTAGTGATAATTCTGAAATGTGTATTTCTCAACTCAAACTAGCAACAACAACTAAATGATTGATAACACCTATAATGATCAATAAGCCATTGATGTCTGGATAAAAATTAATTTAATTTTAATTTAAGTGAACTTCAAACAATCCTCACATAAACCCATAATAAATGTCATATTTACCTGTGCTCTTCCTGTCTACAGGTAGGACATATACAGAAATTGAATAAAGTTATCAAACAGTCTGCGCTGCATAAATTATAAATTATATGGACTAAAATCCTATTTAAAGCTACACAAGTTCTTTGGTCAAGAGCAGTGAGTGTTTTTCTCTGTTCCCTTTGTTCTTTGATTAACTTTACTGACAGAAAGCATTATTGGATGCTGGCCCTTTAAGAGTTGCTGACAGAGACGCGGATCTCACACGCGCCTTATTCTCTCACAACTCTTTACGACCATCAGACAGGGTGTCCGCGGGTCCTTAAAAAGTCTTAAATTAGATTTTTAAAATTTAAGGCCATAAATAGTCTTAAAAAGTCTTATTTTTACTTATGAAAGGTCTTAAATTTTCGATGGCAATTTGAATCAGACATATCTAAATGTTTTCCAAATTAGAACCATCTAATTAGCGTACTTTTTTATTTATTATTCTTTCTTTGTGGATTTGCTTGTTCACGTGACACTTCGCGTCACATTCGCGGCATTATTACGTCCTGCACGCGAAACAGGAGGAGAGGAGAAGCAAGTTGGCAAATGTCAGTTCAATTGTAAGTTAATTCTTTGTGCGTAGTGGTGTGCAATGTGTATGGTCTATGATATTGTAATCATTGTTTTAACGATGTACGAGGCACTGCGAGCTGACATCGCTTTTGTCTCTCGTGCTTTCACTGCGTGATATGTGTAAGTTACGGTTATTGGTATGTTCCCAAATTAGTTTTTGTCTCATATTTATATCATATTATGTTGTTATCATAGGCCTACAATATCACATCAGCAAGAGTTCCGTTTTCCCGTGCACAATTGCAAATGTGACTTTTATTTTATATAACAGTTAAATTAACATTGTGAGTTACATTTTATAAACAATATTGTCAATATTGTTTGTTTTCCCTTTATTTCGCTGATGAGAATTTCAAAATGAAGCCATAGCAGAGTCTCAATGCAACCGACAGCGATGCTTTTTTTTTATAGAATCCGTGTTTTGAACGAATCAATTTAATGATTCAATGAACAACCACTTGCTGCTTTCCCGAATGAATCAGTTTGATCAAATCGGTTGAATGAACGACTCCCTCAACTCACTTATTAAGACAGTGACTTGGCGCCACCTACTGGCAGTTTTAGTTTCACATTTAAATTACCCTTTAATTAGAATGTTAAATATGAACTGATTTCTAATTTTAACGATCTCATAGCTTTATTTATGCAATTTTAAATGCAGTGTAAATATATTAATGCCAGATCTGATGCCACTTCTGTGTCACCTCTGCACTGCAAAGATGGATTTTGATTTAATTACTTTAATTACTCTTACTTTGGCTCTCCTCTTACTTTGGCTCTCAACGAAGGCGGTCGCATTTTCATTCCCTCCTCTCCCTTACCTCCCCTGCTTTTGCTCCTCTCGTCTCGTCTAGTCTACTGTCTTGTACTTTGTGAGAGACTCTCTCCGCACTGCTCTCCAAACTAAGAAATTATGGATTTGATCAACTGGTCTCTCAACGCAATTGACACCATCTTCTCGACGAGAAGCTTGGGTTCGGAGGAACCTGACTGCCCTGCCGGAACGTTCGCAGCTGGCTACACGATGGACGCGTGGGAGAGGTGGCGGGTCGTGTGTCTGGCGGCTCTTTCCGTGGAGGACATTGAAGATATCTACCTATTCGGAACCATGATAACAGGTTTTCTGCTGATTGGATTAGGCATTGCCCTGGTTTATCGAGAAATTAAGAAGTCGGCGACAGCTGTCCAAAGCTCCACAAGGCTGCCCGTCATGATTGAAGCAGTGGGCAGAGCTGTCAGCACTCAGACTGTGACTATGAACCACTATATGGATAACATCATGGAGAAGCTCACAGCTCTGCAAAGGCAAATGGATCGTTTCGGAGACCAAAATGGACCAGGGGCTGTGTAAATCGGAATGCGGCTACTCGTCCTAAGACCAAACAATCCCAATCTTATCTGCTTTCGGCCCCCCTCATCCAGCACTGGCCTTGGCCAAGGCCGCTGTTGGAACAACAACTCCTCCGGAAGAGCACTGCAGTGAGACGCTCTTGCGTTCCTTCCCCCACTCCCCACAAACACCTGCTGATTGTTGACTCTGTCTGGGACATGATCAGGGTTGTCTCCATGGCAACTTGCTGTGTATCGCTATGACAATCCTGCGGACTTGAGGCACTAAGATTATGATGCCAGGCATAGTGACTCTCCAGGCCTACACATACACGAACTCTTACATATATACAGATATGCAATCACCCCCCCACCCCCCATCCCTCGCCTTCAACGCTTTGTACCACCAGTCTGACAGGCGGGTCTGTGACCAGCGCCGAGAATGGCTGCAGGACCGGACGGATACCTGTCTGAGCTGGGTTACCTCCATCCCCCACTCCCCTCCCCTGTTGCAAGTCTTGTGTGTTCTTTGTTTGTAGAGTGTACTGATTATGTGCAAATGTTGCTGAGGTGTTTTTTACTGTTCCCAAACTGTACTCCTCACAGGAGCATAGTCTGGGGGTTGCCTTTTTTTTTTCTCCTCACCTCTCCTCATGTTATGCTGTATTTTCTTCCTAAATGCTCTGTCTTCCTGTCCTGTCTACCCCCTTGTCATATTGTATGTATTTTTGTATGGACAGGTTGATGGCTAATTTCGTTGGTACTTGTGACCAATGACAATAAAGGCTACTACTACTACTACTACTACTAATTATTTAATTTGACTGGTAACAGTGGTATTGTGTAATTATTCTAATATAATTTAATTTGAATGTTAGAATTTGACATAAAAGTTGATGCATACATCTACATATATAGATGAAAATGTCCATATATAGATGAAAATGTCCATATATAGATTAAAATGTCCCTGGAAATCTATTGAAGGTGGCAAATATTACCTTTAAAATATCGAGACATATTTTGTCAATATTGCACACGCCTAATGCATGGTATTAATTTTGATTTCTTCGGGTCTTAAAAAGGTCTTAAAAAGCCTTAAATTTGACTTTAAAAAGTGTGCAGAAACCCTGCTGCTCTTATATTATGAAGACACTCGACAAATGATACTTTGGCATAATTGTGTGTGTTATTGTTCATTCACTTCAAGCGGAAAGAGAACTGTATTCTGGCGCGCGGTCTGTGCATGCGCATGATACTGGCACGCGTCTTTCAGTCAGGACATTCACAGGCAGCGCGCTCTCTTTTGACGTGTCTCGCTGAATGGTTTAAAGCATTCGCATGAACGGGATCATGTAACACTAGCCAAAGGATGACAAAAAATAACAGATCCTGCGTTAACAGCCCTAATTTGTTTATTTCATATAAAATCGCAGTATTTTGCGTCATATAATCGCATAGGCTTGACATCGCGATTACGATTGCGATATGATTAATCGTGCAGCAGCAGCACTTGTCTTTAGGTGTTGGGGATTTCATTTTTAAAGAGCCATGAGAAGGAGCTTAAAATTATACTTCAATCACATTAACTATTGTAAATAATAAATTCACAAAATTGATCATATCCTGACTCTAAATTTAATTGGATTGGATCTTTACTAAAATAAAATTTGGGATTCAACCCACTGATTTGCAGTTCTCCTGAAGCAGCAATATTTGTTTATTAAATGCTCCTATGGAATGGGATTATATGAAATTGGTGTTGTTAATTATGGAAGTCTTTTTGTTTGTTTTAATATAGATGGAAACCCTAATTGGTGAGGAAGGAGTTGATGGGTTGGAGGTGGACAGCAGAATCATTGGCCTCATCTATACAGCACGGATGAACACAAAGAAAGAGTATTTAGCAAACTGACTTTTAGTGATGTATTCTTAAAGTCCAATATCTGTATTTTATTTATTTATTTCAAATGTATATTTTTCATAACTTTATGCAAAACATGAGACCCATTTTTAGAACTATATTTTAATGAAACATTGGTTCAATAAGTTGCAATCGCAAAATAAACATTATTGTCAGCAGGCACTCTGGAGACCGGTGGAAATCTCAAAGGTTAAGGAGCCCACCCTCATATGCAGCCGTCCACACACAGGAGAATGCTGAAGGGGTACACACACTTTCCACATATATAGTCTCATCCTTTCATTAAGATCAGGTTCACTTAATATTCTCAGCTCAAGGTTAGAGCTCAGTAGTGTGTGTGTGTGTGTGTGTGTTTGTGTAGAGGCCAGATGTCGTTAAAGTTTTGGATGAAGCTCTCATTAAAGCAATGGAAAACCTGAATCAACTTGATAAACTTCACCAGGTAAAATGAGAAACTGTTTAAACAAACTTCTGTAACCTAATTTTGTAGGAATGTTTTCCTGTGTAGAAATCAGTTGACTGGGCAACTGATTTTTGTCAAGAGATGTTACGAGAGACATTGTTTTTGATTAAAGATTACACAGACACGTTTTTTAATAATAAATGTGTAGAGATACATTTATAATAAACATTGTCTTTTGTCATTCATGATTTCATAGTGATTTTAAAACTTTTGAATAATATATGTGATATTGCTGATTTGTATATTTAACTTATGTTCTGTGTATTTAAGACTCTTACCAATGGTATTCATGCTCAGCTGAAAAAAGAAAGAACTCGAATTGTCAGAGAAATTGATGAGGCCATTAACAAAGCAAGGAGCATTCTGACGAAAAGGTATGTGGACAGAATTTTTAGAGGCACAAACTGAGATGAAACATTCTGTGGAGTTTTATAGGTCACAGACTTGGCAAATAATGCTTCTCATCATGAACTTTGTGGAATTTGTAGACGGAATATGTTGGTGTCAAAATTGGACGCTATTGATCATCTCTTCTCGGATGGTTGGAAAGAGTGTAAGAGAATAGAAGAGCGGGTAAAGGATCTGCAAACAGCCATCCAGAAAGCTCGACACGTTCGTCAGGTTCCTTCTCTGGAGACCTATTGCAACCTAGACAAGGTGACGCCATACAGAGTTCTGCTTAATGTTAAATGATCTAAATGACTCAATTTATTAAGTTTAGTTTTAAATTCTAGGAATTAAGGCAAGTAAGATAGTTAGTAGCTACTAGTTAGAAACTCTGAATTTTGTGAAAGCTCCAACTTCTCTTGTGTGTGTGTGTGAAGTGTAATTCTATTATAATCCTTGTTACCTAGTGTGCTTTTCTTGTTCTTAAATGTTTTGCAAGAGCATACAGGCTAAATGTGAAATGTAGTGATGTATGTATTTTACAATATCAATAACAGACCCATTTAGAAATGATTTTCCCTTTTTTTTTTATTTTTTTTTTTTATTCCACATTTATTCCACATTCCACCTCAAGCAAACATTTCTATCAGATTTATTTCAGATACTGTATGTATATATCATATTATATTTTTTGTGTTTACTATACATCTTAAAATAAGACATTTTCCGTTTCTGAGGCAACACTGAATCTTAAACCTTCTCTCAAATGTTTTGCTATATTTATTTTTAATTGTTTTAAGATTTTGGAGACTCTACAAATTCCAGTGGATGTTGAATCATATGACATGAGCTGTCTGTCATTGCGTTCAGGACTCAGGTAGATGACCATCGTACACATAGTTTCAGAGCTCCAGAATGCAATTAATATTGTCACAAAATGAATGCACACAGCTCTGCTGTTTTTACATGCATACAAAAAGAAAGGGAAGAATTTACTCTTTAATTTTGTTTTTTATTTATAGCTGCAGTCTTCAGATAGACAGTCTTACTGAAAGTATGAAAAACTGTCTTAAAATCACAGATGTCGATTATAGTTGGTAAGTGAAATATAATGTGCTTCATTAAATGTGTGTAAAACCTATTGATAAGATTTTTGTCATTTTATTATCATGTCAGTAGGGATGAAACGATGACCGGTTTCACGATAAAATGTCCTGACAGTTAGTATCATCGGTTAAAATGTAATTGATTATCGTGATTTAAAAAAAACTCGCGATAAATCCATTCCTGGCAGCATTAGTCTGACGCAGGCGCGCAAATGAAACTTTTTTGTACGAGAAGACACGGCGGAAGGCAGTGACAGCACTCCAGAGAATTTCAGCCTTCTAAGCCAAATCTGACGTGTGGTCATATTTTGCCTTTTACAAAAGTCCTGAGGGAAACTTATTAGAGTGTGGTCCTCCTGTCTGCAGAACATGCAAAAAGAAAGTCGCTGCAAAAGGGGAACACTTCAAATCATATTCGTGACCATCACCCTCTTTTATATCAAACGCAAGGTAAATTAACTTTTACCTCAATAGCAAAATTAAGTTTGGGAAATAATTGGACACAAAATATTGTTTTGAGTAGAATGTTTATTATCTCACTTGTAGGGGTGGAACGGTACATGTATTCGCATTGAACCGAAACGGTACGGGCGTCACGGTTCGGTGCATGAATTTACACGGAGAATACACGGTATAAAAATAAATAAAACTCGCGTGCAAATGAATTAATGTAATGCGGAACTACTGTTAGATACGCGGGTTCTTTAGGGACACATAATCTGTAGCCCCGCCTAGGCGAGCTTCGCCTATATATGCAGTTTTTTTTTCAGGTCGATGACGGTCCAGTGAGTGAGTCAGAGATAGCAGCACTAAGGGCGAGTGGTGGCGACCCACAAGAGTTAGAGGACCCGCCGGCCTCTTTAAGATCGCACGTTTGGGAGAACTTCGGTTTCCCAGTCAGTTACAATTAATTAAACAACAAGCTTCAATATTAGGTTACTTGCTTGCGCGCGCTCTCTCTCTCTCTCTTTCTCTCTCTCTCTCTCTCTCTCTCTCTCTCTCTCTTGCTCTGGTTAATTAATAAAAAAAATTATTACAGCGCTACTTTTTTCACTTCAGAATTCTAGATCTGAGCTGTAGATAAACGGGAGGGGAAAAATCTGAACTATATATCTTTTCCGTTTGACCAGCAAAACATTCATGATGACAGCTCTTATCTGTCTGTCGGTGTCATCTTTTGGACATTCATCATATTGCATTGGTTTTCATTTCTTGTCCTCAAAGCACTAATCTGTTTATTTTTAAGTTACACATTCTACATTGATTAAAAAAGAAAATCAAATGTGTTTTTAATGGTAGTATTATTTTATACAGAAATAAATTATTTATAATTCAGATGAGAATAAAGTTAGTGTTAATTAAAATTTTAAAGGTCCCCTGACATGAAATTTTCACTTTCTGAGGTTTTTTCATTAATATTAGTTCCCCAAGCCTGTATTTGGTCCCCTCGTGTCTAGAATTTTCAATCGGTGTAAACCGAGCTTTGGCTATTTTTCTCTTCTCTGCAGCTCAGACACGCTGATCTTGAATCTCCTCGTTATGACGTCATAACGAGGAAAGGTTACCTCCCCTTTCTCTGCTTTGCCCGCCTGGAGAATTTGGCTCGCCCATGAGAAAACGAGCTAGGAACAGGAAGTACGAACGCGCCGGCGCGATTTTAGTTTTTCCTAGAGAAATAGCTTTGAGATTTGAGTTTTTCCTCGAGAGATATCATGGCTTGCAAACAAACGAAGCATGGCAGTTGATCAGTGTTCGGATGTACAAATGAACACAAAAGTATTTTTTAGTTCCTTCATCCGAGCCTCTGAAGAAACAATGGGTTAATTTTATTTTCTCTGGAAATAAGCCGACACGACTTCCCAAAGTTTTGTATGGTCCAAACATTTCACCGACGACTGTTTCCTCAACTCGATGAACGTCTGAAAATAAATCGATCGAGCTACCAAGCAACAATTTCTGATGTGTAGCCTAATTGTTCAAGTTCAGACAGGTTAAGTTAATCTTTCTCTCAAAATCGTTCAATACTGTTTATGCATCAGTAAGTCAAGCCAGTGACTAAAATATCAACTTCACATCGTTTCTTTTAGTAGGATGAAAATAATCGTATTTAAATTCTGAACAAATTATACAGAAAGCGATCAAAGAACAATCTTTCCACACAGCGCGAGTTTATCTGGACAACTCGTTATGAAATCAATGACGCACGTTACACTGCACAACGAAGCTCTTACTGTATATCATCGTGTTTGCATTGGGGAAAGCATTAGAGAGAGTGCAGAAACTGCGTTGCAAAGATAATATCTTCATGCTCGCGATCAACAGACTGTCATCTGCTTGCTCAATGCTCATCACGGCAACATTTTATGTGATGGGAATAGATCTAAATACTTTAAAAACTTCTCACGATTCGTTAATCTCGATAGCTGTAATAGTAAAAACGTATAATAGCTGTAGTAAAAGTATTCGAGAAAGTTTCGCATGTAATGCATAGCTATTTCATATGCAAGCATGTCAGCCAATCACAGCAGTGGCTGGCTACACTGAATCCCACAGCAGACACACCCCTTCAAACAGAGCGTTCAAATCAGAGGCTAAAATCAGGCTAGGAAAATTGCCTTTTTTTTCTAAATAATGACTATTGATGATCTAAAAAACATACTAACATTATAAGGGCAACCCAGGAAACATTATAAATTAATAAAATAACCCCATGTCAGGGGACCTTTAAGGAAAACAAATATATTGATCTGAAATATAGCAAATTAATTTTAAATTCATTCAGTTACAATTACCAAACATATCTCAAGGTCTTTTTGGCTTTTTATCAATTTAATTAATAAACTAATAATATAAAACTATTGTCAATGCACTACAAATAATCTGGTTCTATGCCTTTACTTTATTATATTCCTTAAATCCAGCCCCCCACAGAGAGAGAAAGAAAATGCTCCAATAGTAATACGTTAATTACATGAATTACTCAAATGTAGTAATACACTAGGTGGTTCAGCCTGAGACATGCACAATACATGCACAATAAAAAAAAAAATTGCCTTCTGCATTTTTGTTTTGCTTTTCCCTCCATTGTACCGAACCGTAATGTCTGAACCGAACCGTGACTTCTGTGTACCGTTCCACCCCTACTCACTTGTAATTAACGCAAAGCTACCGCAAAGATAAGTTCGTAGCAAGTGGCTTTGAACCAAGCGAACGAAGAAGTTCAAACAAGACTATTAACGGTTTAGTTCACTTTAAAGTTTAAATTAGCCCATGATTTACTCACTCTCAAGCCATCCTAGGTGTATATGACTTTCTTCTTTCAGACGAATACAATCGGAGTTATATTAATAAACACCCTGACGCTTACAAGCTTTATAATGGCAGTGGATTGCAAGATACAAGAGACATGGATGTGCACGCTGTTATAATAATGTGTTGCTATTGACAAAGGTCATGTAATTTAAAGCTGCAGTATGTAACTTTTGCATGCATCTTGCAGAAGAACATTGTAGCCGGAGCTACGTCTCTCTGTTTATGTCTGATGAATCACGCAGGGACTGGGCTACTCCGCAGTTTTACAACCCGTACCAGCCTAAAATGGTCAGAATATAAACCCTTATTATATGTGTACCATAGTATAACAATACAAAAACATGGTTTGGAAACTGGATTCATGATTTACTCGCTCATTGTGTACATTTTGTAAATTTTGAACAAAAAAAGTTACATACTGCAGCTTTAATGTTTATTCTTAAAAGAAGTGCATAGTTGATCATTTTATTAGTTGTTTGTTGATTTTTCAAATATAAAATTTGTTGAAATGTTTTCAGTGTGTATCAGTTCTTTCTTTTTGAACATTTTCATCTCATTTAAACAAAACCATGATAATATTGATAATCGTGATAACTTTGGTCACTATAATCGTGATAGAAAAAATTCTCATACCGTTTCATCTCTACATGCCAGTATCAGAGAAGTTGCTGTGGAGCCTTTCAAACATGTTGTGAAAAGCACTGAGGAAGTCTGGGACAGCTCCAGTCAGTCTGTTCCGAGAAATGCAGACACCATTCCCAAAAGACAACGCACACACAGCCCAAGTTTTATGGGTGAAACAGATACAGGAACAGAGAAAGTGGAAATAGGTGTGTGTTTTCAGGGCTGGGTAAAAATATTGATAGTGATTGTTATTTTTTTGTGTCTGACTGAGCATTTTCTTATGTTTTTATGGGTTTTTTTTAGCACGCAGTTACCCGGTTGCTGAACCAAGGTGCAATGAACGGAACAGAGCACTTAAAAAACATCGCAGGCAGCATCTTGAAAAGTCCTCAACTCTACAACCTAAAAGTATGTGCCATGTTGGTTAATCAGAAGAATGAAAAACAAGACAACTCTCTTTTTCCTTGTGTTATTGAAGTGCATTTTGTGCCAACCGTGTGTTTGTTTGTTTTTTCTTCTGTAGTGGTGCACTATGCACTGGCAACACACATTGTGAACCCTGGACATTTCTACGTACGCTATTTGCTCGAACACAAGGCAGGTCAAAAGTTGGCCAAAAAGATCAACGATTTCTGCTCAGGAGAGAATAGCCACTTCACGTGCAGTGATGAAATCAAGACGGGTATGTGCATGTAATCCTTTAATGTTAATGATGGTTTTTTTTTAGTATTGATTACACAGTGCTTACTTCATAATTAGTCATAATTTTTCTGCTACAATATTTGGATTCACGGTTTAAAATGTGCATTTTAAAATTGTTTTCAGAAGGTTTTATGTTAAAATACTTTCTCTGACCATGGCTGATGCGTTACATGGGAAAAGACATTCAGCTCTGGTTACTGAATGTCTGGTTAGTGGCCCCGACTAAAGCTGAGTTCACACTACAAGCGACTTTGTCGCTGCAGGTCGCCAGTGGCTGCGCTGGAGGGCGTTCCGACTACTGGTTGCCTAGTAGGGGTGTGCAAAGCAGCCGGTATTTGTATCTGTATTTGTATTTGTTGAGGGGGGAAAAGTATTTGTATTTATATTTGTATTCGAGTAAAATTCTAAATGGGCGTAAAAATCTATTTTTTTTGCGTTACACTTCTAATTTATGTTATAGTGTTCTTTAATAATATCCATTATAATAATTATGGATATGCAATATTGGTTGATGTTTTTCCATAAATCCAGCAATGAACATGTAACAAGGAACGTCATTGAAAAGAAAATAACATAACAGCCATTACCTCATCCATGGGCAGTGTTTCCTCTAGGATTTTTTCCAGCCGTGGTGGCAGGCCCATTTCGCCAGGGGGAGGGGCGTGGCCCATGAGTGATATTCCCATTGGCCACGCCCCCTTATCCCAGGTGTTTAAACCTCCCCTAAGTATTATAACATGAAAGGCGCCAATAAGAGCGGCAAAGCGATTATGCGCATCGCGTGCGCAGAATGATGCACTTGCGAAGTCACAGCGTGCAGCGCTTCGCATTGAAAGGTTCAAAGCACAAAGCGAAGAGATTATATCTGCTTAATATATTATATCTATGCAACAGTTTATTAAGCCTTTTCTTTTAACAGTTTTAAATTTCAGTTAACTTACAGTGCGCATGAAGAACAATTCATAGTGCTCTCTACTCTAGTGCTGTAGTAACAGACACCCGGGAGAAAGGAATGTGATTTAGAAAGCGCTATAAACTCCAGCAAGATAAAGTAATTTTATGCAAACTATAGACCTTTATCTACAAATATAGTATAAAGGGAACATTGATCTTGAAGAGAGTGTCGTCGTGTTACTATGTGTTACTGTCGTAACCGAACGTGACGTGCTGTTTGAATCCTGAATGGAGAATGACTGAGGAGAGATGAGTTTCCATTAACTTTAACTTAACGACTTAAATATACATTTTTACCTCACATTATGCTATTGAATGACTTTAGAAGTCTTGGAATATAGTGTGAAAACTTTATGGTGCTTTACAATGTTTTGTTTGCCTTTAGTGGGGCTTAACAATAACACAAACAATATCGGACCGAGAAGCTGCAGCCATGGCGGGATGATTTTAGGTGTGGCGGCCCGCCACGGCAGAATGAATGTAGCGGAAACACTGATGGTTAAACCAACAACTAATAAAATACAATTGTGAACATTATGAACCCCACCACCACCCGTCCTTGTTGGAGGACGCTGAACAGACAGAATAAAAACAAATAATGCTTCAAAGAACTGTTCTTCTGAAAGAACTTCTTTCTAAGCACAGAATTCCAAGAACTAAACTTTATCAACCCCTGACTGGGAGATCTGGCAGAACAAAAGTTGTATTCTATATAATACTCTTATAAACTAAAAGATAAAGCCCTGCTATTGTCAACTGTGTGCCAAAAAACAGACACAAATGTTTTTTTTTTGTTTTTTTAATGTAAAAAAAAAAAATTATGTTAACCATAACTTAACCATTTTTCACTTGGAAGAAGATATCTTCTGCCAACATACTCTGTTAAATTTCTCCATGTTGTATTTTGTGAACACAAGCTCCTCCACATGTGAGGGGAGCAGTCTGGAGCGATGTGGGGATACAATATCTCCTGCTGTGCTAAAGATCCTCTCAGAGGAGACACTTGTTGGGGGGCAGGTGAGATATTCCATTGCCACATGAGCTAGGGCTGACTGTGGCTGCATCATTTTTGACCAGAAGGCCACTGCAGGATCTGAGGTCAGTGATTCAGTGCTGTCCTCAGCTAAGTAGCTCTCAACTATCTTGAGGGAGGTCATAGCACCAGATGAGGCAGATTTGGCTTTTGATTTAGCAAGATTGTGCATTGCCCCCCAAAAGAGGCTTTTTTGCCCACTGGTCTCACTCTCAACTGAGGATGAACTGGCAGCTTCAGGTACCCCAGAAACAGCATCCGCTTGGAGTTCTGCATCCACCTCTGCAGCCACTTCTGCCTTGAGCCTGTCAAACTCTGATGTACTAAGTAGTGACATGGGCAAGCTCTTAAATCAGGGATCCAGTAGGGTGGCTTTAAAGTAATGACCTGAGGAGTCATCAAAGACAGCCTGGAAGCGCTGAGCCAACTGAGACTGCAATGTGGTCACCATTTTAATTGCCTCTGGAAGAGCCAGTACATCCGCATCCACCTTTAAGTTTGTTAATGCAGTCTTGAGAGCCTGCACACAAGGGATAACAGAAGACAGAGAAGCCACATCCTCACACACAGTGCGTGTTGCCTCCTCAAATGGTTGTAGTATTTTCACAATGGCCTGCACTAGTTCCCATTGATGGTGTGACATTACTCCTCCCAGATCCATCTCTGCACACATGGTAGTCAGTGGTCGTCTCTGCTCCAACAGCCGCTGGAGCATGTGGAAGAAGGAATTCCACCTGGTTGACACATCATGCACCAAAGTGTTCTTGGGAAGGCCAAGCTCTTCCTGGATTTTGTGAAGTTTGTTCACAGCTTTGTTTGATCTGTGTACAAACCCAGTGATCTTGCGAGCAATCAATATCACATTGGTCACTCCCCGGCACTCCTTTAGAGCAGCTGTTACCACTAGGTGTAAATTGTGAGCCATACACCTAATGTGCACATAGTTACCATCAGCCATTGCCTTAACCATGTTAGTGGCATTATCTGTGACAAAATACTCAACAGAAAATTTCACTCCAACATCATCTTGCCATTGTTTCACAACGGCCTGGAGGTGATGTAGAATGTTGGCTGCTGTGTGATCTTCATTAAGAACCTCCATCTTGAGAAGTGCTGTCACATGTTTATGTTCATCTATTCCTTGTGGACTCTGTTTGCATTCTATCCAGTGGCCAGTGAGAGAAAGATATGCATTTGTGGAAAATTTGCTCGTCCAGATGTCAGACGTGCAGTGCACAAATTTCCCTTCAATTTTTGAGAGAGTTTCTTTTACTTTTGTTTTCGCATCTTGGTAAAGTTGTGGTATAACTGTGCGAGAGAAATGCCAACGAGATGGTAGTTGGTATCGAGGTGCAACCACATTGAGAAGCTTGCGAAAACCTTTATTCTCCACTACTGAGTAGGGCATCAGGTCAAGGCAAATCATTTCTCCCACTGTGTTTGTTATTTGCTTTGCAGTGGGGTGGTTGGGTGGATAAGCCTGTTTTGCATTAAATGCAGCTAATATAGGTGATTGAAACTGACTTGCAGGGGCAGAACATGGCTGTGATGATGATTTGGTGCTTGTGGGGGGGTTGGCAGACAGTACCAGGAGAGGATGCTTTAAGTGCATGTGATTATGCATAGCAGATGTTGACAGATGTTTGATTTCTCTGCCTCTGCTGATTTGACTTTTGCACACATTACATATCACTTTAGTTTTATCTGCAGCACTGACTGTAAAATGCTTCCACACAGAACTTGAGCAAGTTTTTTTGGCTGGTGGAGGACCAAGAGATGGCTCAGCAGCAGCCACACTATTTTCTATTTGGTTGACCAAATCCATGTTTCAGCTAAGTTAATAAATGTGACGGGAAGCTATGCTAAGGTTAACTAGCCTACATCTTGCTGTCTGCAAAAGACAGAGTAACTTAACGTACCATATAACTCCCACAAGTGCATACAATTCGACACAACTAAGTTACACGAGCATTTTTTTTAAACCTTTTTAAATTTTAACCGAACGTTAACGTTACTCTGTCAACAGCCTATTGTCTATATTACCGAGCTAACAGAGCTACGTAAACAGAGCGAACATGAGAGCACGCGACTGCAGACGTAAATAATGCAGCGTAATGGAATAATCTCCTCATCAAACTCAGCTTCCCGAAAGTTATAAACTGCCTCCGGAACCCAGTAATACAAAAATAGTTAGTGACGCAGTTAAGTTTTTTTTCCGCTCAGCCGAGCCCCCTCTGTTGCTGTGTGGAGCAGCCGTCAGTCACCTCTTTCTGAACGTCAGTCACTCACTCATCCGGGCATGCACTGACTGCGGTCTCGTGAGGAAACACAGCTTTTTGATATAACGGTTTTCTTGTTCCCGAATACAAATATTTTTTAAAGTATTTGTTCGAAATAAGTATTCATAAAAAACACGTTATTTGTGCCTTTCCGAATACCGTATTCGGGTTCGGCTCCTCCCCTATTGCCTAGTAATGTTTGTCAGTGACATTCACGGATGTTACTCTGTTAGACAACAAATACGTTTTCTTGCCAATACAAACAAATATTTTGGAAGGAAAAGTCTAAATATAAATGGAATCAGTACATAAAATGCATAATATTAAAGATGAATGAGAAACAGTGAGTGCTCTTTGCCATCGCGGCTATTTAACTGCAGAAAACGGGCAAATACCGGTCTATCTGGGTTCCCGAAACCATTCAGGCACGGAGTCAGTACGGTGAATACCACTGTATGTATACGGAGATATATCATAAATAATAGGACAGTTTCTGACTGCTAAAATTACCTTCTCGTTCAACTTGCCTCGGTCAGACTCAGCACTGAAGAGTGACGTGCTCCACTGACTTCACTCCTATTGGTTGTCGCTCCCGAAAGTCGCTCTGCATTTGCATAAAGTTAAACAGATCTCAACTTTGTCGCGTCGTCAGACACGTCCCATCCAGTCGCCAACGGTCGCAACCGCACGTGTCGCCGGAAGTCGCCCGCTCAC